CCCTCGTCCTCGGTCCAATTGAACTCGTGAGTCGCACGGTAGATGACGGCGCGTGGACGGTCTGCGTCGCCCCAGACACGAGCTCGAAGCGCTACTACCATTACGTCCGGTCGACGTCGACGCTGACGCTTCTGGGGCTCGAGCAGCCGTCGCTCGAGAAGTACACGTTTGCGCCGATGCAGGCGATCGAGATTCCATGTATCGATGGTGAGACACAGGTCGGGTACTTGACGCTGCCGGTGGGACTGCCACCGACGCAGTTGCCGCTCATTGTGAGTGTCCACGGCGGTCCGTGGGTCCGTGACCACTGGGGCTTCAATCCGACGCACCAATGGTACTCTCCGTCTCTATACAGAACGCGTCATCGTGTCGATTAGGCTCGCGAACCGCGGGTATGCGGTGCTTTCCGTCAACTACCGCGCATCGACGGGCTACGGCCTTCGCTGGCTCCATCTCGGCAACAAGCAGTGGGGCCATGCGATGCAGCAAGACATCACGGACGCCGTCCACTGGGCTATCAACCAGGGCTATGCCGATGCATCGCGTGTCGGCATCTATGGCAAGAGCTACGGCGGCTACGCAACCTTGGCCGGCCTCGCGTTCACGCCCGAGCTGTACGCGTGCGGCGTCGACGTCGTCGGCCCCTCGAACGTCAAGTCGCTCCTCGCGGCGACGCCGCCGGACTGGGACGCGCTCAAGGCCATGTTTGCCCTCCGCATTGGGCCGGTCGAGACGGACGACGCGTGGAACTGCGCGATTTCGCCCGTCTTCCACGTCGAGAAGATCTGCAAGCCGCTACTGATTGGCCAAGGCGCCAACGACCCGCGCGTGCCGCAAGCCGAGTCGGACCAGATCGCCAAGGCGCTTTATACCGCCGGGCGACGCGTGCAGTACGTCATCTACACGGACGAAGGCCACGGCTTCCACCGCCCGCCCAACGCGATCGACTTTGTGTTGCGCACCGAAGTGTTCCTGGCCTCGGTGCTTGGCGGCCGCGTGAGCTCGCTGGCAGCCACGTTTACTGCTGGCAATACGGCCGTCGAAGTGGACTTGGCGTCGCTCTAAGGAAAATGCATTGTCAATCGTGTTGTCTGCATAGGAAGCGGTGGATGCGCATCATTTATAACTGGTAGGACTCTCCTGGTTACCCACCGGAAGCTAGCTATCTATTGTGTTGTGCTGCTATCGCTCGTCTCGAGCTCGCGCTGGCTGATGGGATGGGACATGACGTGGCAAGCTCCTGCGCCTTGTCTCGTTGCACCAATCAACTCGTTGCAATTCCAGCTAGGCAAAAATCCGAAATAGGATCCTTGGTTTCGGTAAATTTAGGATCGGCCTTGGCCGCCCATTTGACAAAACGCGACCGCGATGGCGAGCAACGACCAACTGCCGCCTGGATGGAGCCTTGGCACGTCGCGCTCGCGAGGCGTCGACTACTACTTCCACAAGAAGACAGGCAAGCAGTACTGGACCGAGAAGGACCTGCCCGTCGGCTGGGCGTACGTGATCGAGCCCAGCGACCCTCGGCGCGTCTACTTCGACCTCGCCGATGAAAAGGGTACGCGGACGTACACCAAGCCGGTGATTGCTGCGTCGCCCAAGCGCCAGCGTAGCTCGCCACGACCAGAGCCGGCGCCGCAGCGCCGTGGTTCCAACTCGGTTTTGGATCTCTTGTCGCCGATGCCTCGCGCGGACGAGGTCACGTCGCCGCCGCCTCACAGCCGCCGCGACGACGAAGCGAGTCGCTCGTCGCACAAACGCAGTCACGAAGACCACTATGAGAGCTCGAGTGCCAAGCGGTCCCGCGGCGACGACCCTGCGTACGACCGGCGTCCACAGGCCATGGAGCCGCGACGCACAGCGCTGACCGACCAGGAGCAGACGGCCGAGTTTTACAGCAGCCTCCAGCGCGCCAACTCGGGCGACCGCGCCGACTCGCTCCTCTACCACATGCGTGCGATGAACAATTGGATCAAGTCGGTGCTCATCCGCGAGTACTGCCCGACGAACTGCAAGGTGCTCGACTTGGCGTGCGGCAAGGGCGGCGACATGATGAAGTGGGCAAAGCAGAACGTGTCCATGTACATGGGCGTCGACATTGCGCAAGGGTCGCTTGAAGACGCCGTCGGTCGCGTCCAGAAGAACCGGCAGCTCTCGCAGATGGACATCCAGCTCGTGCAAGGCGACCTCGGAAAGGTCTCGCTCCTCTCCGACTCGCTCTACTGCTGGAACGCGGCCAAGCAGTGGCACATGGGCGTGCCCGTCCAGTCGCCCCACGCGTTCGACATGGTGTCGATGCAGTTTTCGTTCCACTACATGTTTTGCGACCAGGGTAGCGCCAACCTCTTTTTCAGCACGCTGCGCTCGATGCTGCCCAAGGGCGGGCAGTTCATCGCGACGACGATCGACCCGGACCGCATGATCCAGAAGCTCCAGGCGTCGGTCGGCGACGTGGACGCGGACGGCGCGCCAGCACCGATCCGCATCTTTGACGCCAAGAAGCGAGAAATGTGCACGGTGCGCATGGACGATGCGACGCGGACGCGGCTCCTCTATGGCAGTGACGACGACGACGACGAAGGGTATGGTCTCCGGTACAAGTTTACGCTGCGGGACGGCGAGGACGAGCAGGCCGTCGACTTGCCCGAGTACTTGATTCCGAACTCGCTCTTGCACCGACTGATTGCGCAGAACGGGTTTGAACTCGTGCTCCAGGAAAACTTTCAGTCGTTTGTCGCGCTCCACAGCCAAGTGCCGCGGCACCGCGAGCTCCTCTCGAAGATGCACGTGCTCAACTTTAACGGCACCATCTCGGACGTCGAGTGGGACATTGTGAGCCTCTACCAAGTGCTCGCGTTTCGAAAGCTCTAGTTGATACACTGATACTTTTTCCGTTCGGTCATTTGTGTCATCCTTCTTCTTACTCAAGCTTGTGGGAGGAGTTGGCGTCAAGGAGGTCCATCAGTCCAAAGGCACGTCCTCAGTAAGGAAGGTCTTTCGTAGATGCCAACTTGGTCACTGCGCCATTATTGTCAGCAATGCTCAGGATTCAATTCAAACTTGCTACCGGTACCTTTTGACAATATTATTGGGGCACGCCAGCGACAGTGCTATAAGCATCATGTCTGCCGCGTAAGCGAGCTGCATTAATTGCTCACGACACCATTCGAGCACTGCGAAGCGGTTGGCGTTGGGTGATTGAACACTCGCCTGCTATTACCAGCTAGTACATCGTCGCTGCGTCATGAGGTCTGCACAAAGACAGCCCCAGTAGATTCGTGCATTGGCGAATAGGGTTATTGCCAGGGGCTGGTGCAAGTCTGACCTCTCTAATCGAGGTGCTGAATCCAGTTTGAACAAAACAGGCTCCGTGCGGCTGCCCGAACAGGGTGAGCTAGCAAGAACTTTCAAATGCGAACCGGTATTTGCGACGACGGCGTGTTGGCCTACACAAAAGCCAACGCGCGACCTTCGCTGCGCTGCGGTGCGCAGGACTCTTCCGGGCCAACGCGCCGTCATCGGGTTGGCCTGGGAGGCTGGTAGTGCCGGTACCGGATATTCCCACTAGACGTTCCTACCAGAAATACAGGGAAACAGGTCCCGTGCGGGGTGAGCTGGTACCGGTACGAGCTTTTGAATATGAAAGCGGGATCTTCTGCCTGAAAAATCGGGAATATAACGCATTTGACCGTGGCCTATCCGGACTTTGGCCACACAATTTACGTGGGGAACGAAATTCAGCTCCTGGCAATTTGTAATATATGTAGCAGTGTCAGATATTTGGTAGAAGTCGTATCCCGCAGTAAACTTTTACAGGATCAAATTCAGGTCAGGCGGTGTATTACCGTAATTACCCTATGGGTTTCGTTCTTAATGTGGTCCTTTGCCGAGCTACTTGAGCGACCTGTAGCACTTGATTTCTTCCCACTACTCTCGCACGGTCAAGCCTCAGCAGAGCACGAGTTGGGGAGACCAATCGATGCACCGCGGGGCCACGTCGGCGCTTTCGCGGTCGTGAGCCAGACCCGTGTTGCGGAGCTCCACTTGGATGCGACCTTGGGCCGACCTGGAGCTGCAGCACCCGAAGGTACACGGGGGTGCGTCACTTGAACTCGCGGGCTGATGGAAGTCGTTTGCTGGGGTTGGACACTGTTGAATGCATGGCTGATGTTGAAAAGGCTCGTCGGCTGCGAAGATTGGACGGTGGACGTATGTCGCTATCGTGCTAGTTGAGTGCGTCGAGCTCCGCAGCGACAGTGCGTGGAAGTCGGCGAGGAAGCGCGAGGGAGCTGAAGATGTTGTCGTTGTGGGCCTGGACTTCTGCGTACATGTTGTCATCGCAGAGAAGAGCCACAATCGTCGTGATGTGGACCTTGCTGTGGAGTGGCCGATCTGGGTCACGTAGAGCCGTCCGGACAAAGCCGGACCACTGGACCACGGTCTCGTACACCATCCTTGCGATCTGAGGCCCAACCGCGTCTTGGTGCACGACGGTATTGCGGTGCATCCACAACTTGTGGACGACGATCATGATGAGACTACTCGCCAGTTGGACGATGGTCTCTTTGAGGTTGGCGAGGTGCGCTGGCGGCTCGATCAAGTCGATGTCCATGCACATGTCCCACGAAAGATCAACTCCCAGCGGCCGCCACGCTGGGCGGTGGGCCTGCCAAAGGGCACGCACGCAGATACAATCGTGGAGGACATGACGTGGTGTTTCGAGCGACTGGCAACGCGCGTATGGGCACTTGGTAGCGTCTGGGCCGTTCGTTTCCATGAAGCGATACTTGGAGCCCGTGGGGAGGATGTTCATCATCGCGCGGAACCAGACGTCGTACTGGACCGGCATGCCCCACGGACGGAGTCGACGTACGCGCTTGAGGTAGTCGATAATCGCCTCGTCGGATGGGCGGTTGGGTGTAATCATCGGATGAGGCTTCTTGCGTTGTGGCGTCTTGACGCACATGTACTTTACGTGCTCCTTGGACCACGCGTGGAACGGCACCGTGCCGTGAATGTCGGACATGGGCCATACTGGTGCTACTTGCGTTGGACTGGAAAGCGGTTGGTCCCACGGGACGTGGTAGTGTCGCCATACGCCTTGTGCAATCGATGACAGCCTATGGTACATAGTCGAGGGCCGGAAACCGGCTCCGGGGCCGTCAAAGCTCCAGAAGCACGCTTCCATGCGTTCTGTGAACGTGTCCTCGGAGGGCCACTTGCCGTCGTCGGACAACCGAATGAAATCTTGAAGGCTGTGGAAGCCGTGGTCCGCGAAATGTCGGATCCACTCCTTGAGTCTGTGGGGCCACGTTCGGGCTAGCACGACCTTCGCCGTCCCGATAGTCACCCGAAAGAGCGGGTGGTCATTGAACCACACCGGTGCTTGCAGTAGTTGAATTGCATCCGTGATACATGGCGCTCGGACAGTCCATGGCAGACGAGACCATGTGTTCCACATGTCGGCTGTCAACTTGGACAAATGTGCGTGAGACAGCCATGTCCCGCGCGGCCCGGGTCGGTGCCACAAAATGTCAGCGGTGCCCGGACGTAATAGTCCCGGCATGACGTCATCAAAGGTCTGGAGGACCAGCGTCTTCCAAGGTGCCGGTCTGGGGTCGAAGACTCGTTGGAGGCGTCGAACGCGTTGGGCTTGGATGTGCGATTGGACGTGTGGGAGACCCAGGCCCAGCCATTTGTCATATTGCAGCCCTTGCTCGAGAAGGCTGTGGTGCTTCTCGTTCGGCTTGTACTTGGCGCCAAGGATGTAGACGCGGATCATGCGTTGAATCGTGGTGACTGCTTTCACAGACAGCGGTGTCACCACCGTGTGGTACCATATCTGAGAGAGGACCTTGGATTTCACCAAGAGGGTACGTCCAGTGAGCGTGCGACCACGTTTCCCCCATTTTAGCAAGCTCGATTGGACGATCCGAACGAGCTGATCGTCGTAGAACGATTCCGAGAATTACTCGTACTAATCTTTCGCCTTTTACTAAAGATTACCGTGGACGTCTTACAAACAATGCGGCTTCACCAATTTCTGACCTCCCTCTGGGAGGGCCCGCATGCTACAATGTAACAACCTCTCCAAATTATCAAACCACAACACTCAAATTTTCCTCGTCCCCCTTGTCAGTTAAGCGGCAAAGGACCCATGCGTGGTCCATCAATGCCTTTTCGTTGACAGCAATACAAAGTACCTTGGTTGCAGCACACAAAGACACTTTCGCTGTGAAACCAGTCGAGCTACTAGTTACGTTAGCAGGCTAAGAGGTGTTGACATTCTTCGATCCGATACTGATGCATAATGCAGATGCGTGCAAGGGTTAGCGGAGCTGCTCGTAGTCGCCGAGGAGCGCCTTGAGTTGGAGGCACTGGCCGATTTCGGGCACTCCTGTATGGGGCAAAAATGCATACAAAAATCAAGTGCTTTTATACGGCATCGATATTCATCGTTCAACGGCAATAGAAGGTCAACTTTCGAAGGACATGGCGATGGACGACGGGACGATAGGACGATAGGACGTCTTTTGAAAGTCGATCTTCCCTTCTTCGCTTTTATTGGGCACGTTTGTTAGATACCCACATGTTTATATTATGCGGTAGTCGTCGACCGCGTCGCGTCGCTCCGGGAGGAAGAAGAGTCCAAGGTCCACGGGCCCGAGCGAGGCACGGGTCGTAGCTGGCGTGGTGCTCCACGTAGCGTGGGCTGCAGCGGTCAGGGCTACGCTCGGAACACTTCTTACGCTGCAGCCGTCACCGGGATCAAACAACGGGCGGCGCAAGCGTTGCGACACACGTTCGTGCGTCTGCTACCCGAGCCCGCGGCGCTCCGGGAAATCATTGAACGCCGCAACACCACGACGTTCTCCAGCTTCAACGAGCCCCTCGTGCTCATGAAGAAGCACTTGCCAATCCAGCCCGTGGCCGCGAAAGTGCCCGTGTGGCTCAAGGGCAGCGCGCTCTTCATCCGCCGAGGCCGTGAACGTGTACGTCTCACCGAAGATCTCGACAGAGGTAACCACAAGATGACGGACGAGTTCTTCTCGGTCACCAACAGCGACGTGTGGATGATCATCAAGACCAACGACGGGTCGCTTGTGTTTTCGACAATGGACCACGAGAAGTGCTCGGAGATGCTCAACAAATCCGTCGAGCTCTTCGCTGAGACGTACACATTCACGGCCTCGGCGGATGAAGAGCGCGCTGCCTTGAGCCACATGGGCACTTTCGAGGCCACGGGCTGGTATATACATAATATATATGAACGTGTTTCGCGTTATCTTCGTTGTTACAAAGAGTTCGCATACGTTGAGACTTGCAATCTCCTTCTTCATTCGCTCAAGTAATTCGTTATACTAACTAATTAACTAGGTATACTCACGCAGCGCGATCGAGTTGTTGGCCCGGTGACGGAGCGGCGCGTCGTTGGACGCATGCAGGGCATCGAGTGCGACGGGCCTGCACCAATTCATGGCAGCCGTCACGCAGACAGCGAAAGTGCTTGGGCTGGACGGGACGCCGTTGCATCAAAGGAGTGCCGCTGGTATGGATATCCCCTGACAGGCTCTGGACACGAGTATGTGTGGTACATGGAATGCGATCATCATCCTCGATGACCGGCTCGGGCTTGGGAGCCGTCGCTAGCCCATCACGCGATCGACGAGGCGGGATGTCAGCCGCAGCATGCAGACCGATACAGACGTGCCACGGTACCAGTGGCAGAGACGCGTCTAGAAGATCCGTGGCTACCGTAGGCTCGTCCTTGGGTTCAAGAAAGGGCAGGACGTCTCGCGCTCGTGATGCTTGGCTCGTCGATGCCTCGACTTTGATTGGTGCGATAGTCGTCTCTGACTTCAATGCTGCATGCTCAGCGGTCAAGACCGCAGGCGGCCGGGGGACTGTCACTGCTCGCAGAACGCCATCAGGGACGTCGCGGAAGTCATATCTACACGACGTTCGCTCCACTCGCCGATATAGCATGATGGTCTGTACCTGATAGAGAGACGAGGCGTCTCAACGAGCGTCACGACCATGCCATGCGTCAGCGCATACGGACGGGCGCCTACGCACGGCGCATGAACCTTCCGGGCTTGGCACCGGACGTATTACCAATGTGCGCCACGCCGTCGTGCACGCCTGCACCGTAGTGAGCGCACGTCTGGCTCGCAGTCGTTGCCACTGTGACGCCGTCGCAAGTCGACTCAAAGACAGCAGACCATCCGTTGCGCAGGCGCTTGGACGTGGTACAGTCCAGGAGTGCGCATGCGTCAGCTAGCGTGTTGCCATGAAGCCGCAGCGGCGACGATCTACAAGGTGCACATGCAGGCTAGCCAGCATCCCTCGGCTGTCGTACCCGAGCTCGATTCGGTCAAGGCCCAATGCGATGAGCTTCTCCAGCACGGATGGCCGAACGTGGTGCAGCTGGAGCATGAGCTCGCGCATGAGGTCGTCGATCTTTCAGCAAAATGGATTGGGTTGCGGACGATGTCGTCGTATCCGGATGGCTAACATCACGCAACTGAGCTCGACGAGGTGTACTGTCCCTTGTCCAGGCTAAACGCTGACTACCAACCAGAGCCATGACTGTGGCTGTACCTATGCGTAGGTGATGGGTCCTGTCCGCGTACGTGCCATCGTCTGTGTCAGTGCCATGCAGTCCTCTGCCACGCTTTTGCTGGCAAAATCTTTTTGATCCGGATAATACTGCTGATATCCGGCGTTCCCGCTTGAAAAGCTATCTCGCGACGATGGTGTACGAGGTCCGGCTGAAGCTCGGGACGGACGAAGAGGGCGTGTTATGGCCGCGCCGCCCGCAGGTCGGTCCGTCGGGTCTCCTCGGTTGCATGCGCAACCTCCCTCTCCGGACATACAAGGCCACCGAGACGTCGGACGCCGGCGCGAGCACGGGCTGGGCCCGCTTTCGCTGCGTCGCCTTCTCGGCCGGCGGCGACGTCTTTGCGGCCGTCGACGAGAAAGGCCGCGTCTTTGCCTTCTTTCCGACGCGCAACCGTTATGCGCTCGTGTGCCACTTGGGCACGCCAGCGCTCGAATGCGCCTTTAGCCCGCAGCAGCGCGCCGAGCTTCTCGTGACATGCGAAGACTTGACCGTTCGCTGCGTGAACGTGCAGACAAAGGTGCTCGTGAGTACGCTACGTGGCCACCGACACGTGCCGACGTGTGTCTCGTTCCAGCGGCCGGGCCAGCTCGCGCTGACGGCGTCCGCCGACGCTGTGATCCTCTGGGACAGCGCCGACTGGTCGCGCTATCGGACGCTGAACGCCGGCCCTGGCGTCCAAGCCGCGCAGTTTGTAAGCAATGGCGAGCTTGTCGCTGTGTGCTTCCGCGACGACTCGATCTTGATGTGGGAGCTGAGCACGCTGGCGCTCAAGTACCGCTTCTCGCTGCCCGAGTACGAGCATCCGCCGGGCCTCACGCGCTTTAGCGTCTCGGACAACTGCCGCGCCATCATCGCGAGGTAACACTTTGCCCTCCATACCTTGCCGTACGTGGACGCGCGATCTTATTACTCTGTGTAGCGGCCACTCGCCCTTTATTTACGTCTGGGAATTTGAGTCCCAAACGCTCATCCGCATCATCGAGCTGCCGGCGACCGTCCGGCGCGTCTTCCAGGTAACACTGTCCTGTCTCCATATCTTGTGTAAGCATCGTCGACCATATATTAGCACACATTTGTGCCATGTACGAGCACCATCATTAGCGTCCTCGGCGACGACGGCCAACTCAATTTTCTCAACGTCTCGACGTCCACGCCCAAGGTGAGCCTCCAGGTCGCGCATCGCGCCAAGGCCATGACCCATTTCGCCATGGACGGGAATGGCAAGTATCTCGCGTGCTGCTCTAGGTATGTACATCCTCCTCCATCGACGAGTGCGCACTCAGAACGGAGTAGCGACGGGTGTCTCCTCCTCTACGACCTTGACATTGCGCGCGAGACCGCGTACGCCGTCCAGGGCATCCGCGAGCGCGCCGATGCCGACGACAACTACCTGCCAACGCGGTCGTCGATCCCAACACCCCACTTGATGGACTCGCTTTTCGGAGCACCCGTCAAAGCGTCGTACGACCCCGGTACATCGACCGCACCGACACCGGCGACACCGGCGACTGCGACGACACCGACACCAACGACGCCGAAGACAACGGCGACGTCCAAGACACCGGTGACACCCATCATGTCGCGCACACCGACACCCCGGCCACCGTCGATGATGATGCCGCCCAAGGACGTGGCGCTGCAGAAGCGCCGGCTCGCGCACCTGCTACGGTCCTACGAAATGTACCCGGAGCGGTACCGCATGCTCGCGTGGCGCTTCCTCCTCGAGCTGCCTGAGAACACGGACGCGTTCAGCCTTCTCTTGCAAAAAGGCGTGCACCCTTCGTGTCTGCATCTCGCGCGGCAGTACCCGATCCAGAACCAGCGGCTCTTTCGGCGGCTCCAGCGCGTGCTCTCGGCCGTTGCGCACTGGTGCCCTGCGTTCGGCGAGGTCGAGTACCTCCCCGCCTTTGTGTTTCCGTTCGTCAAGGTCTGCGAGAACAACGACGTGATGGCGTTCGAGGTCGTTGTGTCGCTTCTACTGTTTGACGGCGTCGACTTTTTGCGCCGGTATCCGTACCCGCCACTGCACTTGCTGCGCCTCGTGGAGAAGGAGCTCGAGCGGCGGGACCCGCAACTCTACTTGCATTTTGTCTCGCACCATATTCAAGCTGACGTGTACGGCTGGTCGCTTGTCAACACGGCGTTTAGTACGGTCTTGCAGCGCCGCGACTGGCTCTATCTGTGGGACCACCTCCTCACGCCGGGGTTTCAAGACGCTGGGCGGCTCTGGGCCGCCGTGCTCGCGTTCCTCCAACTCTCCCGCCACGTGCTCTTGGACTGCACCTCGTCGACGGCGATTCTAGCGTACTTTGAGCAGCAGCAGACGCTCGATATGCGCCAGTTTGTCGACTGGATGCGCCAGATGAGCTTTCCGTTGCCACGTACTAATGAAGATGACAAAGCGTTCGTGCCGTTGCAGAAAGGAAGCTACCCCCGCTTCCAGCATTACCCTCATTTCGTCGTCGACTACCAGATTCAGGTCATCCGGCTATTTGAACTGACACAAAAATCTGATGCGTCGTCTCATAGGAGCGCAACCGCATTGCGCGGGAAGAAGACGACCTCGCGGCCAAGCAAGCACTCGTCGCGCAGCTCCAAGCACAAACGAAAGCACTGGACGAGGCCCATCGCCGCTGGATGGAAGAGAAGCAGCACTGGCTCGAGAGCGAGCAGAGCCGGCGGCTCGACGCGATCGAGCGAGAGAAGCAGCGCATCGTCGAGATGAAGGTACTCGCAGCCAAGACACGCGAGCGTCGCCTGCAGCAGGTCCATCCTGTTGACAATGTCGTCTCTGAAAGTCCGCCCCTCCTTGTAGATCATTGCGATGGAGAGGAATGCGAAGAAGCGCTCGAGCAAACGAGCAAGCTCGTCGCGGCCGAGCACGACCGGTACCGCGTCGAAATGGACTTTGCCGCGCAAAAGCTGGCCGCGCACACGGCGCAGCAGCTCGACGACGAAGAAATTTCGGCGCTCGAAGCCGCGGCGCGAGCGCGCGTGGCCCGCATCGCTGACGAGCGGCTCTCGGAGGAGCGTCTCCAGCAGATGCGCGTCGACTTTTTCGCGCAGTGTCGGCAGCAAGAGCTCGCCGACCAGATCGTTTTCGACAGCTGGAAGCGCGAGGACCGAGACGCGGCTGCTGCGGACGAGACCAGCGTCACCCGCCGCTTTGAAGAGGCGCGCAAGATGCAGGAAGACGCCCTCTTTGGCGAGTGGCAGCAGAAAATGCAGCTGCAGCAGATGGAGCGCGCGCGAACGATGCAAGGACTTCAGCGCGCCCGCGACGGGCGACACCGAAAAGCGACAACAACCGCTGGTCTCGACAAAAGTCTCCCGCCCCTCGAGTCGCACGACGACGACGATGGCTCGTTGCCCCTCTCGTCTGTTGGTAGCAGCCATCGTAGTACGAGTCGTGCTGCACCGGCGCCGTCACCAGCATCGTCGTCGTCGTCGTCGGTGTTGCGACCACCACTTCGTGTCGCGCGGCCTCCCGCTCCAAGCCCGACAGAACGTGCGTCGATGCAGCCGAGCCCTGTCGCGTCGGATGACAGCGTTCGATCACGGGCCCGCACCACATCGCCACTAGTGTCGCCACCGGTGCCGCAGGCTGCGCAACAATCAGCGCCGCCGGCAACAGAGCAACCCGTGCCGGCGGCTTCTGTCCGCGCGACTGCCGACGTTGCACCGCCAACGCCCGAGGTGCCTACAGTCGACGCACGCGGTGTCGACAGCAAGACGTCCGAGCGAGTCGATTCGCGTTTGACGCCAGCGATGAGTGCGAGCTCCTTGTCGTCGATTTCGGCGTCATCCGACCGCCAGAAGCAGCTCTTGCGCCGGGCGTTGGAGCAAGTGAGCAGCGACGAGGACGACGACGCGGCGGGTATGTTGGACGTCCGTTCGACCTCCCGCCGCTGCAAAACCATCGGCTCAGTGCGATCGAGCACGACCTCAAGGTTGAATTCTCCGAGCTTGGTTCCGACGCGGGTAGCCTCGAGCAGCGCCCGCTCTCCGACCTGGAGCGAGACCTCGAGGGCATGTTCAGCGACGATGATGACGTTAACAGCAGCTCCCTCTCGCACCTCGAGTCACTGCTGCACTCGCCCACGCATCGCCACAGCGTCTCGGCGCCCGTGACGCGCGCGCCGTCGCCGGACGAGCCGCCGTCCGCCCGCACCAAGCTACGCGACCTCCAATCCAAGCTCACATCCGAGGAGCTCCAGACGCAACGAAGCGTCGACGAAGGTCTTCTCGCGGTCGGGGATCTCGCCGACCTCGTGCCAGTCAAGCCCACAGCGGTCGCGGTCGAGCCCTTTGAACGCGACGACGAGCATGAGCGGCTCATGGCCCGCGCGAAGGCGCTTCTGCGCGAACACCAGTTCCGAACCAACTAGCAACAAGAACTCAACAACATGATACCAGTCGTCACCACACCAGTGTCGAGTTGAGATTCGACCATGAGATTTGAGATGCGACTTTCATGTTGACTGCTGCGGGCGAAGCCAGTAGCGCCCGCATCCAAGATCGCAATGGCTGTGTCGACAATGCATACACGTATAGAGCGTAGAGCTGACGCAACGACGACTGTACATGCATGCGCAAGGACACTCAATTTGTGCAGGTTACTACGTCCGAGTGATTTCTACTTGTTTACTTGGACGAGGCGTAGGCCGAGCCGTCGGCGTGCTTCTGGACCCACTCCTGGTTCGTGAACGGAGCACCGGGCCACGACTTCTGGAAGTAGTCGGCCTTGTTGAACGACTTCGGGTTCTCAATGCGCTCGACAATCTTGTGCTTGAAGCGCTTGATGAGACCCTGGACGGGCCACGCGGCGGCGTCACCCAAGGCGCAGATGGTGTGGCCTTCAATCTGGCGCGAGATTTCCTCAAGCATCGGGATCTCCTCCAAATCGGCGTCACCCGTCTCCATGCGCGTAAGGATCGACTCCATCCAGCCCGTGCCTTCACGGCACGGCGTGCACTGGCCGCAACTCTCGTGCGTGTAAAAGTGGCTCAAGCGGCGGATGGCACCGACCATGTCGACCGACTTGTCGAAGATCGTCACGGCGGCCGTACCGAGACCCGACCCGCCCGTCATCTTGAGGTCGTCAAAGTCCATGTGGATGTTCTGGCACGTCGCTTCGTCCATGACGGGCACCGAGGAGCCGCCGGGAATGCACGCCTGGAGGTTCGACCAGCCGCCACGGACACCGCCGCAGTGCTTTTCGATCAAGTCGCGCAACGGGATCGACATCTCTTCTTCGACCGTGCACGGGTTGTTGACGTGGCCCGAGATACAAAAGAGCTTCGTGCCGTGGTTGTTCTTGCGGCCAAAGCTGTTGAACCACGAGGCGCCGCGGCGAAGGATCGTCGGCGAGACCGAGACCGTCTCGACGTTCGTCACCGTGGTCGGGCAGCCGTAGAGGCCCGTGTTGGCCGGGAACGGCGGCTTGAGGCGGGGCTTGCCCTGGCGGCCCTCGAGACTCTCGAGCAAGCCCGTTTCTTCGCCGCAAATGTACGCGCCCGCACCACGGTGGAGGTACACGTCAAAGTCGTAGCCGCTGCCGCACGCGTTCTTGCCGAGGAAACCCTTCTGGTACGCCTCGTGGATCGCCTCCTGCAGGATGTGGGCTTCGTTGAAGAACTCGCCGCGGATGTAAATGTACGCAGCACGGGCACGCATGGCGTAGCCCGCAATCAAGCAGCCTTCGACGAGCTTGTGCGGGTCCTTGCGCATGATCTCGCGATCCTTGCAAGTGCCCGGCTCCGACTCATCGGCGTTGACGACCAAGAAGGACGGGCGGCCGTCCGTCTGCTTGGGCATGAAGGACCACTTCAAGCCCGACGGGAAACCAGCACCACCACGGCCACGGAGACCCGAGTCCTTGATTTCTTGGATGATCCATTCGGGGCCCATGTTGAGGAAGTCCTTCGTGCGGTACCAGTCACCGCGCTTGAGGGCGCCTTCAATGCGCCACGTCTGCTCGCCGTACAGGTTGGTGAAGATGCGATCTTCGTCCTTCAAGCCGCCGTAGACGCGGGTCATGGCCGGGGTTTCCACTTGGGCGTTGGCGACGACGCGCGACGCGTGGAGGGCACGCGCTAAGGTTCACATATCAGATGTCAACCTTCCACCGCGATCGCATCTTCCCACCTTGGGGCGCGAGCTTCTGGAGCGCAGCACGGGCGGCCTTGGTCGAGCGTTGCATCTTCGTCCAGTCAGAACAGTCACTGACGAGGGCGTTTACTGCCACACAAATGGCATTGGCCAATCAGAGGCGTCTTCAACCTCTTGCAATAGATACTTCCACCATATCGAATGTCACAGGATGAGCCGTTCAACTTGGTGTTTGTATGCGCATAGTAGCGTTGAATCAGGGAATGGAATTCGTTGCATTCGATCACACACGAAGCAGCTGCCGTTGCAGGCAAGGAGTGGACCGAGGACGTGGGAAATCCATGTGAAAAATCATTGAAGGTTGATATTTGTAGGATGTGGTTTTCATTTCACACTGCGCGTGGGTGTGGTGGGGATTGCCCTTGACGGCAATGGCCCGAGCGGCCCATGAGGGCAAGGGTGAGAAGCTTGCACTAAAGACGGGACGAGCTTATTGGTTAGCGTTTAGGGTTTCAGCTACTAAAATACTTGAATTAGCTGTGCGCGTATAAACACGAAGTCCGATGCACGCTTTAATAAGGTTTAAGCCCGAGTTGAAGTTGAACCAAGGAACACCCAGTTTGCACTCAATGTGCACTGACGTCGGGTTGGTGGGGCCCATGAGCTGCGTAGTCTCTATTGTGGCAGCCACATGCCGCCTTGGGCGTACACAAGTTGTTGTCGGACGGCTGCTGGGCCGGCCCATGCTGCCGGCTCACAGCAACCGAACGGTTGGAGGGCATTGTCGGCGTTCCTGGTCACCTTGATGCGAGCTCGCTTCTTGGTCATCAGCTGGGCCTACTAGTAGAGCAGAGGAAATCCAGATTTACAGCACTACTACTACTAGTAGGTGGCACCACGTCTGAGAGGCGCGTCTGCGTGCGTAACCTTGTTCTGCTGCTTGAATCATCCCTGGATCGACTGCATGTACACAGCTTTACCAGTACTCTGATCACTTAGGCGACGGAGTGTTGACATATATAAAGGCAGCAGCTCCTGTCACCAGCCAACGCAGGCGTGTTGCAGGCAGGTGGTATGTACAGGACTATCAGGGGCTCACCTCGGTCGCACCATTATCCGGATACTCGGAGAAAAATGACGGTATTTTTATATTTATACCGTATATTTACGGTTCGGATTGCAACTGCTCCGGATTCGCAATTGCTTGCCATCTTCGCATCTTGTCCAGGTCGCAGGAAGCCGATGTCGGGCGAAACACCCAGCTCCTCCAGCGCCAAGGACGCTAACGCGCTGGCCATCATGTCCTCCGCGCACACGGTCGAGGGCATGGACCGCGCCGAAGACGCCAACGCCCGCGTCATGATGAAGCTCTCGACCAACGCCAAGCGCGGCCTCGGCGGCGTCGTCGCGTGCGCACTCGCGCAGGTCAACGACGGCTCCGCCCACCGCGAGTGGGCGCAAACGTACTTCCGCTTCCTCATGGAGCAGTGCTTGGACCTTCCGCTGCACATGATTGAAGGTCTCCTCCCGATCGTCGCCATGGAGCGGGCGCGGTCGTCGCGGGACAGGGCGACCATGCTGGCCGACGACGCTGCCGAGGACCACGCCTCCCTGAACCTCTCGCCGCGCACGCTGCGCGAGACGCCCATGAACAGCCGGCCCTTCGTCGCGCTCGTCGAAGCGGACATTACGTGCGACGAGCTCATCGCGGTCTTGCACTACATGCTGTGGAAGACCACCAACGCGGTCGGCTACGACGCCCGCGCGCGGAGCATGTTTCGCTTCCTCGTGCACGAGATATACGAGCTGCCGTGGACCGTCATCGCGTCCGAGGAGTCGGCGCTTGGTATGGCGCTCTTCCTCGAGGCGAACGAGCTCAAGAGCCGCAAGGTTGAGAGCCCGCGTCGGTGGGGCGACTGGAAGCGCAACCTCAAGATCGGCACGGCCGCTGTCGCCGGCGGCACGCTGCTC